ATAGGACTTTATAAAAACTGACATAGTGAACCGACTAAACCACCTGGTTACATATTTCTAAAAATTTAGGAGTGATGATTCGGAAGAAGTTACCAATGATATTCCGGAATTGAATATCTGTCTTATGCCACAGGTCAATGTGAGGCCAGCTCAGGTCAAGGCGGTGCCAATCATTTCATTAGTGCACTGGAATGATGAGCTGATTTTTTTAAAAAACAAAAATTCATGAAGTTCCTTCCTAGCAAAACTCTCTTTTCTGGAAATGTATTCTTTGGATCCCCATGATGTTCCTTTAAAACACTGTGAGAGGGTTCTCTACAGAAAGCCACCAGTGTCCTCATCGGCTACCTCCAGTGGGTGATTGTCCCCTCCTGCACATCCTTGTCCCAGGCACAAATTTCAAACTGGCTGCATGGTCCAGACCTAGACTGCAACATACGACACCATGGTCTTCTCAGTGTTTAAAAAGTTTCAAAGTAGTCACCAATATATAAACATTGAGATGCCATATACAGAAATCTGAAAATGAGGATTTCCTAGAGAACTGGCGATCCAGGTGCCCACAGCTGGTTAGAAGCGAGAGGTGACTGCTCTCCAGAAGAACCCTTCGGCCCCCTCCCCGCTGTTCCCTGTACTCTACCTGACTCTGAAGGCACATGAGTGTGTGGCTCCTGCAACAGGCAGGCATAGAGATGGCAAATCCCAGACTGCATGGAGGTGACCGGAGGGCTCATGACCCCCTGGAAAGCTTGAGGCAATCTAAGGGACCCCCCAGGAGATTGGACTCATTTATGGCCTAAGTGGCCAATCATTCAAATAGACAGAGCTGCTGGCAGGGCCCGGAGTAGCCTGTGCCACAAGGCTGCACAGGGAATGCCTGTCCAAGTCTCAGGCAGAGTCCAGTCAGTTGGGAGGGGACCGGGCAGGCCCACTGCCTGATTCCTTGCAGAAGTCTGGTCATGTCTGCAACCTGGGATTTGTCAGTCAGCCCAGAGCTCTTGGGTTGAAGAATGTGTCCAGATGCGGTGGCTTTGACTGTGAAGCAGCTCAGCACAGGTGGACTCAGCATTTGTCTGTGCTGGCCAAATGGAGGAGCAGCCCTTGACCACACCTCCGAGTCTGCTGAATGTGCTGAGAGGTCTCTCCTCTCAGTAGTTACTGCACCCCATCTAGGCCAATGTTGTGAGAAGTTTGCCTCCTGAGCACTCTGAAATGTGTCCTTGGGGGAAAGAGGCTTGGGAAACAGCTGGGATTTTTTTCAGTGGCACATTAAGCCCTTGGGCTGTGTAGGATTCTCTGGAGGGCAAGCCTACCCTAGGCGACTTCGATCCCTTGTGTTTGCCATGGCCAGAACCACACGCTAGCAGGGGCAAGCTTTCATCTTAAAAGCATTTTCCTGTGCCCCTTGGTTGGAGAAGAAGCCCAGGAAAGCTGCAGGGCAGAGCGTGGGGATGGTTATACCCATCCTTTGGGGATTACAGAAAGAAATTAAAATTGAGGTGCTTTTTTTTTTCTTTGTAACACAAGTCCAAAGGGTTTATCCCATGGAATGTCACTCTGAAGCATTTATTTGGGGAACTGGGTTGAGAGGAAGCAGTCACCGAAGCCAAGCCCTTTAGGAGCTAGGCAGGAGATGGAACTGCACAGGCAGAGGGGCTCTTCCATCCACAGGCTCAGAAGGCAGAGAAAGGGTGGCTGGATGGAGGGCTTTCAGAGCCCATGCTTGTCACCTGCAGCCAGAGAAACCCATGAGCATTCACAAAGCAGCCCTCATCCACCAGGGCCTGAGCCCAAGGAGACCCCAATGCTCAGATGAAGGGTTCTGATTTCAGCAATGGCCTTTCTTTCTCTGGAGCAGGGGAGGCCAAGTTCATCCTTTGAACTTTAAGGATCAGGAGGTTGAGTGAAGAGATGCTATCCTCCTACCTACCGCGTGATGCTGGGTGTGTGTGTGTGTGTGTGTGTTTCCCTTGCTTTAATAGCCACGTGATTGGTCTTCTCTGAGAGCTGTGAGTTGCTTTGCTTCTTCCCTTAGTTTCCAGTGCTATGAACAGTGCTTGGGAGGTAGGCAGTGCTCATTCATCCACTGGTTCATTCAATCAAACGATGTGAATAAGTGAGTCTGTGTGTTGATGGGTATGTAGTTGCAAACATGTACATGCAAAATCTCTGGCCCATTCAGGAGACTTAATTTAGTTCTTCCCATGAGTTTGGAGTGAGGATAGAGAATACAAGCTCTAACATCTCATATTATAAGAACCAGTAGTGACCAAGACTGTGTCCTGTGGGGGTCAGAGTAGCATGGGGTATCCAGTCCCCAGTCAGGACTCTTCAGGTACCTCCTGGGGTCTAGATTGTTTTCACTGCTAAGCCATGCCACAGAACCCCCATCAAAGTGTGCTTCCCAGGGAGGCTCAGTAGAGTGGTCCCTCATCCAAGCTCCAAAGAGGGTCACCTGAGTTTGGAAAAATCCCCAAACCCCATGTGCACCTTTGACCAATTAACTCAGAATTGGAAGATGGGATCAGATATCATTGCTTTTTAAAGCTTCCCAGACAATTCTATATTGTTTTTGCAAAGTGTAATCTTTACAGTATCTGCATCTGAATCATGAGGGACACTTGTTTTAAATACCAGATTTTGCCCCCAACTTCAGACCTAAGAAGCCAGCATTGCTACGTACTAGGACTCAGAACTCGTGTCCTAACAAACTCCCCTGCTTGTTTGCATGAATTATGTGCTATGAGAACCCCACTGCACTGTGCATTTCAAATGTGTGACCCTGGGAAATATACATACGACATCCTCTGTGCATCCCTGTGGTCCCCACCACAAAAGACAGCCCCCACCCACCTCAGGTCTAGAGGTCAAAGTTTACATTCTCCCTCGTTAGCTCCTGCTAATGAAGGCCCATGCTTTCTCTACAGTCTCACTGCCAGATGCACTTAATCATTTCCAGGTGCATTTCTGAAATGCAACCTGAGTCACCCCAGTACCTGTGGGCCTCACCTCTGCTGGCTCTCACTTACTAGGCCCTCTCACAGGGTCTGCACTAACCCACGGGAGCCCCATGCCCACACCCTAAGCTTTAGGGGCCTGCCTCGGCTGCACCTGGTCACTGGACTTTCAAGTAAGCTGAATCAGTTGGGACATTAGCTGTCCAGAAGTGCTTTACCCCAGTGGTGACTCCCTGACCTACAGTAGACTGTCCAAATAGCAGTGGCTGAAGTATGTCTGAGTCTAACATGGGGATCAACTTCAAGAAGTGGGAAACTGGTGCTTAAAACCATTTGTACCTTCACCTCAAAAAGAATAGAGGTCCCTAGATCCACGTCATTGGTTTAGCCAGAGATGACTGTGACCTTTACGTTTATGATTATAGAAGTAGATGCTCAGATGGGTCCCCTCCCCAGACCCAAAGGGTATCTCTGAAGACATGTCCAGGGGAGCTATCAGCAGCTTGTAGGCACAAATAAGGGACTGCCGGCCCCCTCATTTTGATGCGATGCACAGCATCTCCACAGTTCTGGCACACAACCTAGAGATGACGTGGTGGTGTCTCCTACTCAGAACCTGGACTGATGGTAAACAAGACATTTACAAAATCCAGGCCCTCAAATGCCCTATGCCTGGCGAACTGGGAATCATGGCTTCAGCTGAGGGTAGACACAGAGAAATGTCTTCAGAATACATCATTCACCAATGATTCTCTGGTGCTTTTTAGATCAGTCTGTTTTACAATAAAACAGAGGAAGGATGGGTGGGGGGTAGTTAAGCTTCCTGGGAGAAATAATTGTGGATATTGACAGGTTACTATTGTGAGTAAGCTAACACAGGGACTGTCAAAGTCTTCGTTCTTTCCAAAGAGCTTTTTGGTTGCAAAGTCTAGAAGAGACCCAGGATTGCTAACAAATTCTTGGAACATACTAAAATCCACATTTGTTTACCTCCTTCTGCTCCTCTATCCCACAATGCCAGCAGGTCTAAGTTGTCTGTTCTAGCATCTTCTCTATTGTGGAAAGAACAATAGAAGTTGGGTGTTGAATTTAAATAAATATTTAATTCCTGAAAATTATCTTATATGTTTTAAAACACTCTTTAAAGCTATTTTTATTCTCTAGAAAGCGCTTATTATAGGTAAATTACACATTTTACTACCGGAGCATTAGGTTTGCCATTAGTACAAATTTAAGGCACTACAAAGACCAGTAGATAATGTTAATTTCAAATACAGAAACTAAATATATTTTGTGCCTTTTTATTACTCATTTTCTTTTAAGTTTTATTGACTGCTTTTTATCTTAACTATATGTCTTTACATGCTGCAATCATAATGCACTGTAATGGTATTAATATTTTATAGAATCGGTATTTATAGTTCTTTATTTAGAAACAATGCAGTAGGTCTGCAGATATCTGAGCCCGTCTGGAATGGTGCCCTCCAAATAATGATAAATTACTTGTGCAGTATGCCATTTGCTAATTATATCCATGATTTACTGCAGAGCAAGACTTAAATCATTCATTTCAGTCTTGCGTAACAGTGCCATAAAATTTTTAGGTTTAAAAATGGTTTCCATGTGTATAATTTAAACAAATTTTAGAGCTATTGTATACACAAAATATTGCAACCACCCATTTGTTACATACTTTGTCTTTTTAAACTTCTACTTTTAATGATCACTGTGGTTGAAATTATTATGCTTAATTTTCATAATCATAGCTTTTAAATCTACAGCCGTTTTCACATGTTAGATAAAGAAAAAGATAGCTAATTGTGTGTAGATAGTATGTCATTCCTGAATAGTCCCAAATGGTACAAAATCATTAAAAAAGCTTAAGAGTACGAATTATTCTTCTATTAAAAAACAGTTGTTCTCTAACTAATTATTAGTTTGAGCTGCTTTGTTTCAAAGAACAAATGTTGATCCTTCTAGCCTTGTTCTGCACACCAAAATGAGATAAACACTTTTTCTTTTTCTCATATCAAAATCTTGCAGGTGAGAAACCCTACAAGTGTCCTCACTGTGACTACGCCGGCACCCAGTCAGCATCCTTAAAATACCACCTAGAACGACACCATCGTGAGCGACAGAATGGAGCGGGGCCGCTGTCTGGACAGCCCCCAAACCAAGACCACAAGGATGAGATGTCCAGCAAAGCATCTTTGTTTATCAGGCCAGACATCCTGAGGGGGGCATTTAAGGGTCTCCCCGGAATCGACTTCAGAGGTGGCCCTGCCTCTCAGCAGTGGACATCAGGAGTGATCTCTTCTGGAGATCATTCGGGGCAGGCCACCGGCATGTCATCAGAGGCTCCTGCAGACGCCCTGAAAGGCACCGACCTTCCTTCCAAAAGCACCCACTTCTCCGAGATCGGAAGAGCTTATCAAAGCATCGTGAGCAACGGCGTGAATTTCCAGGGGTCCTTGCAAGCATTCATGGACAGCTTCGTCCTCAGCTCCTTGAAGAAGAGGGACATGAAGGACAAAGCCCTGTCAGATCCCTCTTCCCTGAAAGCCCACGGAGCTGATGGTGGCGAGGAGAAACCCAGCGGCAGGTCCTCTCAGAGGAAGGCTGAGAAATCTCAGCACGAGCCTCTGGACTTGTCCGTGAGGCCGGACGCCTCCCTCCCGGGCTCGTCGGTGACGGTGCAGGACAGCATCGCCTGGCACGGTTGCTTGTTTTGTGCTTTCACCACGTCATCCATGGAGCTGATGGCCCTCCATCTGCAGGCCAACCACCTAGGAAAAGCGAAACGCAAAGAGAATGCCGCGGGGGTGGCCATCAACTGCAAAGAGCAGGCCCGGGAGGTGGGCAAGATGGCTCTGCTGCCCACAGCACAATCCAACAAGGAGATGGGCCTTTCGGGGATGATTGGCTCTCTAGACTCTGCTTCTGAGAAGATGGCCCAAGGACAGGCCAAAGAGACCCTGGGGGACCAGAAGAGTGGCCCGTGGCCCAGCCACGTGGACCCTGCCTTTTGTAACTTCCCATCAGACTTCTACAAGCAGTTTGGCGTGTACCCGGGCGTGGTGGGCTCGGGGGCCTCCGGTTCCTGCTCCAACAAGGATCCCGATGGGAAAGCCCACCCCGAAGAGGACGCCCCAATCCTGATCCCCGAAACCACAAATAAGAATGCTACCGATGACCTCTCCGACATCGCCTCCTCCGAGGACATGGACTCCTTCAAGGGAGAAAACAACGACGAAGAGGATATCGAAACCGAGCCCGAAATGATGAGCAAGCCCCTGTCTGCCCTCAGCAAGGACAGCAACAGCGACGGCGGGGACAGCCTGCTGCCCACAGGCACCCCCCAGCCCATCCAGGGACTAGTCTCACCTTTAGCCCAAGTGTCTGAGAAGCAGTGGCACAGCCCAGGCCTTCTTCCTGCCCAGGACCCCTCAGTGGGTCTGCCAAAGCCGGAGCGGGGGCCCCCGGGCCTGGAAAAGCCAATGAACATGCTGTCGGTCCTCAGGGCCTACAGCTCCGATGGCTTAGCAGCCTTTAACGGACTTGCAAGTAGCACAGCAAATTCTGGATGTATCAAGAGGCCAGACTTGTGTGGTAAGTTTTAGAATCCTCTTCCTTTAGTTCATTTCCCAAAACATCAGTGCTGACCTGTGCATTTTTTTTTTTAAATGAGGTAGACTGACCCATTAGCAAAATTTAAACTAAACCTAAAAAAAAAAAAAAAAAAAAAACCCAATGCTATATATGCAATGTAGACAATCATAAAAGTCGATTTCACTTCAAAGTTTCCAAACTCATCCTTTTGGGTTCCGATTTGCATTATAATGTTCTCACATGCCTGTACTGAAAGGTATGGAAAAGGGGGTGGTGTCTCACGTGTGAACTCCCCTTACTTTTCATCCCTAAGTGGAGAAAGGGAAGAAAAACAACTATTAAAACAAAAACAAAAAGAGACATGGTAACTTGCAAACTTTTCAGTATTTTCGACTTTTGCAAAAGATGCCTGAAGACACCTCCTTATTGCTTTGCTAAGCCAAATCTGCTTCCTTAAACATTCCTTTAACTGACTTAGAGGATACTAAAATCATATCACACTAACCACAGTAGAGAAATAACGTGACCTCTCCAGACAGGGAGATGGTTTCGGGGTGTTCGTGATTCATCTTTAGACATACCAAATGGCAGTTACCTGACTTTGGCCTTCTGCTGTTGCCTTCTGTCCGTCTGTGTGTCTTTCCCTATCTGTTGTTCTAACAAGAAATGTACATTGTCAAGTCTGATTAGCAGTGTTGTGACTCTGTGTGTCTTGGATTTACGCCTGTTTGATCTCGTAGCAAACTGGTACTTCTTTACCTCCTTAAAGAAAATGGTTACCCCTAAAGTGATTCTAGATTTTAAAACATTATCCTAAATTTGAAGCCTAGAGTCCAATCAAATGAAGCTTGGGGTGGTCAGGGAGGACCCATGCAATTTTCTTTGCACCCAGATGTTCATATTTGAAAAACCTGTCTCCAAAAAGAAGCTCAATGTATTATTCCCTTTGAAACCAGCCCCAAATATTCCCACTAGAGACAAATGGCCATGGTACCTTTCCATCTTTAATTTATGAATGGATTTTTTTGTGATTTTTACTTCATGTGAGAAAGGAAGGAAGAGAGTATTTGTGAACATCAGCATCTTAGTATTCTTTTAGCACAAAGCAGGATTCAGGAAGCTAGACCCTGGGTTCATAATTTAAATTGATATATTTCTTTTACCCTCTCCTTCCCTAATTCACTAAGAACTGGATCAAGCAGTTGGAAATATTTTTTGAATTGTCAAAAATCACTAAATGGATTTCTGACAGCTCAAAAAAATATTGACAGTTCCTTATGCTGAATGATTCAAAAGGCCCCATTAACCAGTACCCCTAGATCTATTTTTAGTCACATGTAATTCATTACTTTTGAAGCTGTTAAAAACAATATTTAAAAGAAGAAGAAAAGGGTTTTATGCCAGTCCAAATTTTCTCCTTTTTCTTCTGGGGGAGCAACATTTAAATTTTTTGTTTTTTTTCATTGTTGTTCTAAGTTTATGATTGGGGTGGCTTCTTTTTTTATTGTTGTTTGGGATTTTTTTTTTAAGGTCTATTTTCGGTTCTTTCAACTACCTTCTAGGACCATAGTTCCTGCCAGGAATCTATGCATCAGAAAAGATCAAAACCTGGCATGTGCATAAGCTCATTATTATTTAAATGAGCTCATGTTACCCCTATTAATTTTCCCATCTTCCTATCATTGTTGAAGGAAAGCTGTCTGCTTTGAGGAAGCTTGGCCAATGGTGTCCTTCTGCACCAGGGATGGTGGAGGGGAGCACAGGGGAGTCTTTTCCCTCTGAGCAGCCTGTTGAGAACAGGCACTCCTCACCCCCAACCCCAAATAGCAGCTCATAACGCATCTCTGACATTTCCAGAGAATGTGCAAAAACTTTGCTTGGTCAACCTTTTAACCACTGAGTGACAGACTCTGGGATGTAAGCTGTGGACCCTCTCTTTCAAGGGAATTGAGGATCCTTGGACCAGCTAGGCTAGAAGGCTTCTTGGTTGCTTCCCTCCAAAAAGGTTCATGTTCCTCTGTCCCTAACTCTGGCCACAAACTGCCTGTTTGGGGAGCATCTGACTTCTGTATTCCATCGGGCCTCCTTTCTTCTGCATCCTTCTGCTCTAGTTGGAAGCAGGCGGGGACAGTGCTTCTCTGTCCTTTGCATTTGTTTGGAGTTGGGGGCCACAGTTCTGTTGCCTCCAGGAGGATCCTGGCCTCGTCCAGTCCTCATTTCCCTGCCCCCATATCTGGCCTACCAGAAGAGTAGTCCTCTCATTTTCTTGCTGGCTGCGGTGGCATCCTTGGACCCAGAAAGGCTAGGCATAAGTCATCCTTGCTAAGAGTTAATATCTCAGAGGAAAACTTCAATCCACTGGGTTATGATTTTTTTTTCCTCTCAGTCTAATTCACTCTTTTTGTAGCGTTCCAAGAAGCGCAAGTGACTATTGCAAGCATCAAACCCCAAATGGCTTCACTTTGCAAGGGTGGAAATGATATTGGCATAAGGAATAAAATACTCCTAATGTTTATTCCCTCTTCTCTGCTCCACTTAAAAGTAGATATGGATTTTCAAACAGGTCCACCAGGTCGATAGCTGATCTTTCTCATGAAGCTGGGCTTAGCTAAACCAAAGAATTATTCTTGTGTTTCTCATCTCAGAGTTTGGAGTCTGATTTTGTCTGGTTAGTAAGCTCAAGTCCCCACTTAGATTACCCTAGAAACAGGCTTGTGGAAAGAGTATTGTTCCTCTGTGTAAGGAAGAATGCTGTTCTCCTGGGGTGTAAAAGTGTTTGAAGAGACATCAGTAAAAACCTTAAGTCTTGTAGACTCCCCTGGATCTCAGATCTCAGAGTCTCTCTTGCCCTTGCTGGTAAGTTGGAGAACAAACCTTTTCACCCTAACTCTATGGGTGATTCTCTTTTAGTGGGTTGTACAAACAGGTACTCCCCTAATTATTGCATTTCTGCTTCTTAACTTTTAAAACTTACCCTGAATTCCTTAGTGTCAAAAACCTGGGGTCCTGGCCCGTGTGCTTTTCTAACTAGATTGCATAAGAGAGCTGACAAGAAGAGGCCACCCTAGCCACTTGATTAGGGAGACTCCAGTAGCACAGGCCAATGTTGAGAATAGGAGTGAATTTTTAAAGATCTGTTCATGCAAGATAGCACATTTGCATGTCAGGGACATGTGAGAGATGATCCTGAGGAGGAAATTGAGTCACCTTGGATTACACTGGAGGACATGTATTGTTGCGGTTGGAGTGGGTCAGGTCCCACTGTGGATTTGATCTTGTTACATGAAATTCTCCTCGAATCAAAGTGTTAGCTTCTTGAGATGACTTCCTGGCTCCAGGCACAGCCCACATTTTTTTTTTTTATTCTATCAGTTATATAACGTACAAGGGCCCTCCAGTGTCAATGGAGAACTTGAATTTGCCCTGTGTTTTGTTAGAATGGGTCTGACCTTGGTTTTGCAATAAGACAGGCTCCATGTGAGTATTCAGATTGGGCAGGGGGGCGGGCAAGGGCAGACCAGAACAGTGTGCACAACTACTGACTGGGCCGGACAGACAAGCCCCCATGTCCAGTCTGAGAAACAGTGATGGCAGCACTGGTCAGTGGATAGCTTGGAGATCCAAGAAGACATGGAAGGCCCAGGCTTTGCCATGCACCCAGAAGATGCCGAGGCCAATCTGCAGAGCACCTGTTTCTAGCTACATAGAAAGGGTAAAGACCACGTTTCACCCCAGAGCTGGTGCATGTGGAGAACAACAGGATCACCCTTCCTCCTTCCCTTTGGAAACTGAGACAGCCAGGGCGTGAAGTTGTTGTGTTTGTTTTGAAGTTGTTGTGGGGTTGCTCTGGGTCCTTCAGGAGCCCCCAGGGGCAGGGTTGATGGGGGAACATTAAAATCAGATTAAGGGAAAGGCAGGGAGAAGGGTATAATCTTTTTGCCCTGAGAAGTCCTGCCCTGGAGTTACCACTACTTAGGGAAACCCAGCTGAGCAAGAAGAATCTGTCAGCATGTCAGCTATGGACATGAGGCCCAAGTGCCTGGTTGCTTGCTAGTGGCCCAGGAGCGAGCCAGTGGGAAGGCAAGGACACCCACAGGAATAGTCCCAATATTCCCAACTTATTCTCAGGTGGTTGGGCACCTGGCTTCCCCAATTCAAATTATGCCTGTGACTAAGGAATAAAGGTCCTCTGGGCTTCCACCGCAGTGAAAATATTGGAACCCACCCCCAAAAGGTAGGGCCCATTGAAACATCTTCACCTTGTGTACTCTATAATGTGTGATGAGCTGGACCGGGATATCCACACTGAGCTCTCTTCAAATGTGACTTTGGTCCTCCTGTGATTTCTCAACATAGGTTGTTTGAAAAGATCCACCAATTTGCCAGCTATACATTGTAAAGCAGAGGTCCACAAATATTTTCTTAAAGGAACAGTGAGTAAATATTTTAGGCTTTCAGGTCATGCGGTCCCTGTCACCCTTACTCAGCTCAGACTACTGGCACAGAAGCATGCAAAGGTAGTATACAGATGAATGGGTGTGGCTCGTTCCTATAAAACTTAATGAACTAAAGTAGGGGCAGGCTAGGATTGGCCCATGGGTCTTAGTTGGCCACCCCCGACTCTATTGTAAAGAAGGATGTGTTCCCATGGTCTGCCCCAGTGAAGGTGCAGAAACCTTCCTCTGCTGTTCCATTGGACAGTGAATCCATGCAGGGAGGACCCACATCAGTAACTGCAGGGCTCCATCTATTGCCACATGAGGCCAAAGAGACTTTCCAGAGACAGAGGAATTGTAGACCCAGATGGTACCTGTTTCTGGAAGGCCACATCTCTGCCTAAGCAGGAAAAACTTCCAGGAGAATCATTCCGGAGTGCCCCCCCCCCCATCACAGCAAATGTGCATAAAAGTGGAAGATGGTGTAGCTCTGTCTTGGCTTCCTGAAAGACTGTTTCATCATGGATGGACAGAGTGTAGGAATGGAAGACGATGGTAGACATA